TTGCCTGGCATTGCAGGATGAGATCAAGGGAGTTAGCTCAACTTTTGCAGCTAATTCCTAACTCAACCCAACTGGTTTCCTATAAGAAACAAGGAAGAACTTTGAATCAGAAAACTGAATATTGGTTTCTATGAAAACTCATCATCCACAGGTTCCTATCCCTGCTGGAGGCAGGGCCATATTAATACAGCACAGACATTGCATACCTGCCGAAAGCTTAGCTTTAGGACCTGAATTCTAGTTGTGATCCTGTGGTAAGACGTTATTAAGAGAAATAGTCTCTCCTAAAGAACAAAGTAATTTAAATCCCCTCTTGCACTGAATACATGAAGAAAGCTTGACATACTGTTTGTGTTTTAAGGTACATTTCAGCAGCAAGTAGAACACAATCTGAAAATTTAAGCAAACAGTATGCTCTTTAAAAATACAGCTACAAATTGTTTCACTTTTTTTGTAAATAAGAAAGCAAACTCCCAAGAATCAATGTGAGATAAAAGAGAAAGACACACCAGGGACATCACAGATTGCCAGAAGGAGAAGCAGGGAAGGCAGCAACACTTTCTGCTGTAGGGTGTGTTAGTCTGGTGAGCTGCCGTCTAGGGAAACAGTAATAACTCAGGCCTGGTGTCAAGCTAGGCTGGACTAGCATTAAATAATGGTGCTGCTTTGATGGAGACACTCTTCTGTCCCCACTGGGCCCCTCAGTGGCAACTTCAATAGGAGGAGAAAAGGTAGAAGGATAAATTCCCTTGCCTGGCACAGAACACAATCTTAGGGTCCCTGTAGCAGCCAGGTGCAGATAGAGGCAAGGTCTCTGCCATTTCTCTGCCTCAGCTGGGTCTCATCTAAAAGCTTCGTGACCATCCTAGTGTGGCATTGTCAACAAGCTGCTGTGAGTACATTATTTTTAGCCCCTGGTGACGTTGAGGCACTGGGACACAGCTCATCTGGCCTTTGCAGTGTCCCTTCTTGGGAGATGAAGAGCTCATGTCCTTTGCTATTAATTCTTCTATGCCTTTTGCCGCTATCAAATCTGGGTTTCTGCAGCTGTATGGTGGCCAGCCAGGCTGTTGCCCTAATTTTGCTTTTCCCCTTTGTATCCTATATGCAGAGAAGCAGAGGGAGCTGGCTCGGAAGGGCTCCCTGAAGAACGGCAACATGGGAAGCCCAGTTAATCAGCAGCCCAAGAAGAACAATGTGATGGCACGAACAAGGTAAAGGACTGGAAAAGCATTCAGCTGAGCTCTAAGCTGCAATCCCTAATGGCTTGAGGATGGGCCAGGACGATGTTCATTGCCATTTGCCTACTGCCAAACACACTGCAAGAGCAGTGATGGCCCTTCCTGGAGCTGGGAGGCCCAAATGCTCTGTGCTGTGTTGCATCCCATGCCCTGGGGAGATGCAGGGACAACTGAGCCCAGGACCGGTGACAGTGCAGCCTGCAGGAGGCAGAGGCAGCCCAGCCTGGTCGAAATCAGGGGTTTGAGTTGGCTGTCTTGCATGTTCTGGGTAGCTTCATGTCACACGTAATCCTGCCAGCAGGAGAGGTACGATTCTGCTTCATGTAACGCAAACTGGTTTAGAGCTTAGTTCTGCCTTGGCTGCTTTTATCACAGCAGCTCCCTGGCTCCTTTTTGATGATATCCCCTTCCCCATACTGATTGACTTAATGAAGGCTTGTAAATAATCCATCTCTGTGTGCTTTGCTGTACACCTCCTCCACACTTTGAACAGCACGGTCATACTTTGCTGGAGCTGCTTTGGCACACCTCTGTATGACAGTATCAGACAGTGCTACAAACTGCTGTAAACAAAGGCATTCCTAGCTGAATACTTTCTTTTAGAGTATTTCTATTTTTTCCATGCAAGCTTCAGTACACCAATGTATTACTAACCTGCATTCAGGAGGCAGGAACCCCCCTGAGCCCACAGGATTGCATGCTTTGCATGCTATTAGAAAGGTGGCAGTTTTTAGTGGAGGACCTCACTTAAAATGACAGAAGAATCTGCCGTGAATGCTGGGTGTTTACTAATGAATGGGAAAGTTGCATGGATTACCATATATTAAGTAGAACAGGAGCTGCAGGTCAGAGCCTCTCTTTATGCAACATATCTGACAGATGAGGTTCCTTGTTTACATTAATTCCCAAAACCCAAAATAGTAGCCATAAATCATGCCAGGACTTCGTCAAGTTTTAGTTTTAAGCCCCTGCAATGTTGGTGGAATATGCTGCATTGCTCCCTGCTCTGTGTTTTGAGACCATGTAAAGGAGTTAGGCCCTTCATGGCAGCAAGAAATTCAGCAAATGCTCTCAGCTGGGTTTTCCACACCCACTGTTTCTCCTTGTCTTCCAAATACAAGCTGGAAAGACTTGGTTTCTTTTGGCAATAGGCTGCATGCTAGCTTCCTGAGAGGAATGGTAGCAGATTTGCTGCTTGAGAGATTTAGAAACACTGAAATTAGCAGAGGAAGATGGTAAGTACAGGTGCCTACCTGTAAAATTAGTGACTTCTGCTTGGAGAGATTGTTGTTTCCTAGCTGCCAATGGAAAGAAGAGTGATTTGAGTGGGGAAGAGCAGAGCAGTGACACCTATTGACACAAACTTTTGAACAGCCAGCTCAGTTTTATTCCATTTGTGGACATCGGAGCACTGTTCAGAGGACATGTGGACCCCTCCAAGCCAAGCCTAGCCTGCTGGCAATAGACTTGCTTTTCTTAGTTACTTTTCACACAGCTTTTAGAAGCAACCCTTGGGATCTGCAAAACAGGGGTTTCCAGCCGTTGCTTTAGTAGCAGATGTAGCCAAGCTCCATTGTTCCCATATGGCTGGGAGGTGTCTGGCACAGGGTCTCACCAGCCCAAGTCCCTTCATCCCCCAGCTCCCTTGGTTTTCTGGGAACCAAGCTGCACTACGAGCACAGCCCTAGTAGTATCTCAGAATGGTTCAGTCTGTCTTGCCACAGACAGGGCAACCCCAGGAAGGCAGAAATGCCACAAGCTTGTTCAAGCAGCTTCTTTTCACAATATAATGGCTGCAGGATAATGGGAGATGCTCCAGTGGGATACACTGCAAAACGTCCAGGTTATGGTTTAAGTCTGAACTGCTGGCTTCCTCTGGTCTCTGCAGGAGGAGAATAAGCTAAAGCCTTTTCCCCCTTTTTAACAGTTCTGCTGTTCTCATCAAATATGTTTTCCTTCATTCAGGCAAACCATACTGCATCTCCTAGTCTCTACTCCACCTCCCCTTCCTTCCTCAAGGCTTCTGTTCTGCTGTATTATCTGTATGAATTTCTGACATCCAGCCTCTAGTACCAGGTTGCCTTCACCATTCAGTCTTCTCCTGGGGCAGGGGCACAGCCAGCCTTAGAGGTGAAAGGATCTGGATCCATAACACGCTCATTCTCCCTGAGGGCAAACAAAATGTGAACAAAGTTGGGGTGATGCTGGCACACTTGCTACGAGTAGAGGCAGAGCCCACAATGCCATCCGCAGCACTTGGGCATTGCCAGATATTGCAGTCCACTCTGAGGATAACCTAAACTCGGATTTGTGTCGTAACATATTTCATGTTAAGTGAGCAAAAACACCAAGACAAGAAGCTCATATTGGGACAGCTGCAGATGAAAGCAGCTACAACGGCTACCTGGCTTTGTTCCAAGGATAGCAGGAAGCTAAAATAAGGACAATCAGGAAGTGAGGGAAAGACTTAGATCAGGACAGAGACATTATCACAGTTTTGTCTGTTGCAGAAAAATTCAAGTTCTGTCTTATTAAGAAAAAAGACATTTCTCAAGGAAAAGATGTAGTGATTTTTTTTTTAATCAAGTAAATAGCACCACAAAGGGTTCTTCTCCTAGATCCCCCAATAGTGCTTTGTTCACCCATGACATAGTAACAACCATCAGCAAGTATATATGGAGCAGTTCCAGGAAACTACAGGTCTGTCATTCTGACCTTGGTGCTGGGGGAGGTTATGGAGCAGATCATCTTGAGTGCCATCACGCAGCACATACAGAACAAACAAGCAATCAGGCCCAGCCAGCATGCGTTTATGAAAGGCAGGTCCTGCTTGACTAACGTGATCTCCTTCTACGACAAGGTGACCCACGTAGTGGATAAGGGAAAGGCTGTGGATGTTGTCTACCTAGATTTTAGTAAAGCCTTTGACACTGTTTCCCACAACATTCTCCTGCAGAAACTGCCTGTTCATGGCTTGGACAGGCATACTCTTCTCTTGGTAAAAAACTGGCTGGATGGTTGGGCCCAAAGAGTTGTGATGAATGGAGTTAACTCCAGGCGGACAGTCACAAGCGGTGTTCCCCAGGGCTCAGTACTGGGGCCAGTTCTGTTTCGTATCTTTATCAATGATCTGGATGAGGGCATCAAGTGCACCCTCAGTAAGTTGCAGATCACACCAAGTTGGTTGGGAGTGTTGATCTGCTGGAGGGTAGGAAGGCTCCACAGAGTGATCTAGACAGGCTGGATCAATGGGCCAAGGCAAATTGTATGAGGTTGAACAAGGCGAATTGCCGGGTCCTGCACTTGGGTCATAACAACCCCATGCCCTGCTACAGTGGCTGGAAAGCTGCCTGGCAGAAAAGAACCTGGGGGTGTTGGTCAGCAGTGTGCCCAGGTGGCCAAGGCAGCCAACAGCATCCTGGCTTGTATCAGGAATAGTGTGGCCAGCAGGAGCAGGGAGGTGATTGTCCCCCTGTACTTGGTACTGTTGAGGCCGCACCTGGAATACTGTGTCCAGTTTTGGGCCCCTCACTCCAGGAAAGACATTGAGGTGCTGCAGCGTGGCCAGGGAAGGGCAACGAAGCTTGGTGAAGGCTCTGGAGAGCAAGTCTTATGAGGAGCGGCTGAGGGAACTGGGGTTGTTTAGCCTGG